TAAAAAAATCACTGTCACCACCCCTCAAAAGATTTCTTTGAAAATAGTTATGACCATCACTTTTAATTTGATGGTGAGAATATTCAAATCTCCCTAGATGTGTGATAAAGTCTATTGGTCATTGCCAAGTATTCTAGTTGTTCTCCCTGCAGTGTCTCTTCCATGTGAAAAAAGTATACCGTTATAACCTATTGAATTTAGGGGTGGCCATGCGACATGCTTTGATCAAGAAAATCTGGACAGAAGCCAGCTCTTCTAAGAGTTTTTAAGAGCAGAGCATGGCTTACCATCTTTCTCCTTTCCCTCTGCCATGGTGACCAACATGACAAGTGCTGTCAGGGCCACCTCGTAATCCCGTCTATTCCCTTAGCACCTATTATTTCTGTACATGTTAAATAACTTCCAATTGTTCATGCAAATTCATCCCGAGGGCTCCCTCTGACCATCAGAACCTGCCATGTCCATACACGGAGCAAACTGGAAATGTCTGAGAATTAACATCTCTAACCCACTCCTACTCTTTTGGCCTTCAAAAGGATAAGCCTGAGGCTTCTTGTCTACACTGACTTCCAGGGTTCTTCAGAAGGGTTAAGTGTAGCTGCTCTCTGTGATACCAGAGGTCACTGTGTGCTCTCTTGTTTGATAATGAACCTCTCTTGCCCTTTTCCCTGTTCTGGTCTATCTTCCCTACTGTCACAGATGTCTCTGCAATTGCCACCTAAATACACCACTGACAGTAAAATTTTCTTCAGAAACAAATTAAGATGCCTGGCAATGTTCCAAATAGGGGTGCATGGTCAGCTTGGGTGTCAAAGTAGAGCAGAGCTGACTACAGTCCTTAAAGAACGTGTACCTTGTTTTGAGCTTCTGTAATTTTGATGTTGTTACTTTAGTGTCATACCTAGTGAATGATACATACCCTTACTTCAGTAATTCTATTTCTAGAATTTTTCCTAAAGAAATACTTAGAGATGGGCACAACAGTCTTTATTGTGGTGTTATAGAAAATTAAATAATTGGAGATAATATAGAGCAATAGGAGAATTTAAAAATATAATAGGATGCTTTTCAGCCATATAAAATTCCCTCTTAGAAAATATTAATAACATTGGCAGATGTTCATACTATATTTAAAAATAGATTATATAATATCATTCTAACTTCATTTAAAAAGTATCTATATAATTTGTGTACGCACATGCAAAAAAAGTCTCCCTCCTCAGTCTAGAGATTAAAGGTCTTACTTGGACAGGAAAAGAATAATTTCTCAATATGTCTATCTTTTATTGAGGAGGTTATAGGTGAACAAACGTTCTAAAAATTAAAGAAGAAATTATAGTTGAGTTTCTGGATCAAATGACAAAATAAGCTCATGCTTTAATAGGTCCAATTATTCTTCTCTAATAGTAATTTTTGATAATATATGAAAAGGAGATGATATAGTACAGTTGGGTTCCATTGTGAGAGACATCACCACATTGCTGAAGTGGACAAAGGTACAAAAGGGCAAGTGACTGTGAAGCAGCTGAGTTGCTAAGATCTAGATGTTGATGATGGCAGTCACAGTGAGATGTTTGCTTCCTATGCAGGAAAGGAGACAAAGTGTTCTTGAGGAGAAGAAGATCAGAGACAATTTCCTGTTTGGAGCAAAGACCTTGGGTTGGGATTCCTGCCATGGAAAAAACCTAGAAAAAAGGTTGTTGCATAACTTTTAGGAGAAAACACCTACGCATTATAGGCCAGAAGATGAGGAATATAGATTCAGAAGCTGGAAGCAATGTTAAGTCATCCCGATTTTTTTTTTATCTTTGGATCTGTTATATTCCCTATATTTTTTTTTACCAGGTAGGTACAACTGAGAAAATATCCAAAGGGGATATGTGAACACAGTAGGAGTTTGAAGGAGGTGGGGGGAAGAGAAAGAAAATATGAAAAACTCTTTTTCAAAGTCATCCTACAAATTAAAACTTCCAAATACATGAAGAAATTGAAAGTTAAAAATGATACTTAACAAAATCAACAATTGGAACTTGAATTCTCTCCAGATGAAACTTATTTTATGGAACAAAGATTTTAAAATAAGCATATTGAGGATGTTCAAAGAAACAAATGAAGACATTAAAACAGAACTAGAAATTATGAAACAGAATAGGCAGAAATAAAATAAGAACAGGTGGATATGAACAAAATTAGAAATCATGGAAATGAAAAATAGAGTTATCGAGGTATTGAAAAAGAAAAAATTCTAGATGAGACATGTTCGAAACATGAATTTAAATATCCAAATTACTTGGGAGAAACTCAGAATCAGTGCAGTAAGATATAAATGATAAAAACGGAAACCCACTTGATAGGATTTAGCCTTTCCCTAGTAGGAATTCTTAGAGAAGAGAACCAAAGGAATGGTGGCAATATTTGAAGAGGTAATTTACAAAAATTTCTATAACTAAATAAAGGCACATATTATTTTCAGTTGAAAGCATACTCAGAGTATCAAAAAATAAATAAATAAAAATAAATTCACATTTAGACACATGTAAAAGGAAAACCCTTAAGATTAAAAAAAAATCTTGAAACCTACCTTAGAAAAAAGAGCTTTCCTAAAAAAATTTATAAAATGGCAGACTTCTCACCAGCTACTATGGATATGAGAAGACAGTGAACAAAATCCTCAAAGTGGGAAAGAAAGCTCTCCTAAAATTAGAATTTATACTTAGCCAAATAATCATTTCAGAGAGAAGTTAAAATGAAGGTTAAGAGAGTTACTCCTAGATTTACACTAAGATAGATACTAAAGGGTGCATACTGATAGGACAGGCTTGAAATACAATACAGAGAGAACATAAACATTCATATGCTGTGTAGGAAACATTCATTTGGTAATAATTGTAATAATAATGCTTCTTTTGTCTTTTTGGAAAAAGTTGAACTTAAAAGTCTATACAAGAACAGGCCATGACAAAGCAGAGTTCAGTAAGTGATGAGGGTGTTTTAAGGATCTTCTTTGGTTGGATGAATGGGAAAAGTTCTGAATAACTGTCTACTTTGTAAGCAAAGGTAATGTTAAGCCTATACTTAAGGGGTTAAGTTTAGAAATAAAATCTATGGCATCCAACTCTACAGACGCTGTAGAAAAAGCAGGTAATATGTAACACTCAAAAAGAAAAGAGAAAAGAAAACAAGAAAATGAGTAATAGAAAGTACAAATATGGTGATAGAAATCTACCCCAAAATATCAGTTCCTATAATTACAATAGGTTAAATTCTCTTGTCATAATTTAGAGATTATTACATTGTGCTTAAGAAATATAATTTAAAATATATAATTGCCACTTTTAAAGGATAAATATAAAAAGGAAAGGGAGATAGATACAGTATGTTCATCTCAATTATAAATACTATGAAAATTTGCACATGTTATAAAGAAGACAGTGTGGAGTTGATGAAGCATATGATAGTATGCCAGTGGAGTAGTATAGACAGAGCTCAGAAACAGATTGTGTACAGGAAAATCAATGTCACAGAAGTGTGATTGCTGATAGATGGGAAAAAGGATGGACTAGTTGTTGGACAGAGCTGAAACAATCAATTATCCAGAAGTAATTAAAATAATTAAATTTCTAGCTCATATCAGACACAAAGATTGGTCCTAACTGATATAACATAAAGGCATAAATATGACATGACACTTGACAAATTTTAAAAGTAAATACGGGAGAGTGTTATATCCAGTTTGAGAAAGATTTCTTAAGTTGCAAAAGCAGCTCATCAAGCAAGAGATTGAAATGGTAGAAAAAAATGCAAGGTCTCAGGAGCGAGCCACTCTAGTATGTCAGCCCAAGATTTTCAATTTCCATAAATGTTAATCATATATATGTCAAACAGAGCTCATTGTATGGGACAAAGTAGACATTTTTCAAACAAGTTCATATTTGTTTTCTAATGTCTCAAGCTCAAAGAGCTCTCAGCTTAAAATATAGTAAGGCCACTTGAACTGAATGGGTTCACCTTTTACAGTCATTGTCCTATACCTCAGTTATGCAACTCAGAGAACTAAGTTTTATGCAAGGATAGTTCCTAAAGAGAGCAAATTCTTGACCTCTTTGAAAGTGAGCCAACTAATAGTCCCTGGCTACTAGCATGGCAGTTTCTATGGAAAACAAGGCTGACATAGTTCAGCCAAATTGGTACTAAGATACTGAAACATTTCAATATTTATCAGTAATTAGCCATTCTTCAAGTCCTCTCTCTCCACCCAACCCTACTTACTGTATGACAACTCTTCCACACTGACTTCTCCACCAGGAGCTTATCTCTGTAAAGCTCAGTAACCAAAGTGTTAATTCTAGCACAGCAGGTAGTCACCAGGACTGTTAATTTTTTTCTTTTTCTACTATCACCTGTGGATAAAGACGAGCTACCACACAAACTTGCAATTGCTAACTAACCCTGCTGACATCATCATCCCCTTGGCCCTAGAGAGAATTATTATCTATTATCCAATTTTGCCTCAAGTTCCAGCACTGCAATAAAATACCTCTTTGACAAAACTATACATTTCCAGGTTTAATCCCATGGCCACAGCTTCGCTGGGGGACCTACTTTCCCCTACAGGTGAGAGATGAAAGTCATCTTAACCCTCAACATAGCCAACCATGCTAGGAACATTTTCAGTCTGTTCTTTCTACATGAACTTATTTTCATGCAGTTCCCTGTTTGTGATTTTAAAACTTGCTTCTCAGGAGACCAGATTACTTCCTTAACATTTGAGTACAATGAATGATTTGGAAGAATTTGGTCCTAAATATACATTGATAGCCAGCGCATCAGCTCACCATCTGCCGAGTTGAGTGGCAGAGGGAAGGGTCATGGGTCATTCATGGCACAAAAATTCTGCTGTTCATTCAGGGAGGAAGAGAAGGAGAGCAGGGATTACACTTGGATAGGTAAAAAGGCATCATTCAGAAAACATAGAAACCAAAGCAGAACACCCTACTCACCAGGGCTGGTTATCGTCAGAAGGTCAAGCTGCCGTTGTTGCTGCAAAAGAAAACACACTGTAAGAGCACTGATTTGAGCCAGAGCCAAACTTGTGCTTAGCAGGTCAGGACAGACATGCAGAATGAGAGCAGGGTCAATTGTACAGAACGTGGTGCTCAGTCACAGTTCTGCTGGGAGGCCATGCAGCCTAGAGCAAAGGAGAATGGATGGACTTTTCCTTGTCCTTGAAAGTACAGATGGTCACAGCTGAGAGGGCCTTAGAGTGCTTCCAGTCTAACCTACACTACAGGTATGAAAAAGGAAGCCTGAGAGGAATGTGGCTTACCCAGGGCCACAGAGAAAGTCCCTTTCCAGTCACCTACCTGCAGCCCTTTTCCTATTCTTCTGTACTAGATGACCTTGGATTTGTTTTAATTCACACTGATTGCACTGGTTGAGTATCTGATATACTGAGAACCGTCTTCGCCTCTAGTACTTGTGTTATTGTCACCCTTCAGTAATTCCTTTCTAACCAAGATTCTTCTGGATTGGCTTATTTTTTGAGCGTACTTGACAGTGCTATCACAATTTCAATTACCAATGATAGAACTGTTTCTTCTTTTACTCTTTATCCTTTTGTACCACACAACCTTCCTACAAAATATTTATCAAGCATACTAGGCTACATGGATAAGATTGCATGTGCTTTTAGAAACCGGGTCTTGGTTATCCCAAGGAATGAGATGATCAGTATCTCAAAAGGCCTGTCCCCTTTCACGAAATAACTACTGGGAAGGTCTGTGCTTGATTGGATGTCATGGAACCTGAGTTTAGAGAAGTGGGTACAGGAGGCTCCTGTTGGGTAGCAATGAGTGTTTCCCTTGAAGACTACAGTCGGAATTCTTTAAGCCCCAGTCTTCTTATTGCCTGCTGCTCTTTCCTAGGTGTGATTTTCCATAAGTAGTACTGACATTATTTATTTTATTTTCATAAAAGGGTCCAAACTCTGCTTTGGAAACCACTGACAGAGACTTTAAATTACATGTGCTTTTGATCAGCTGGCATTTCATCTGAGGGATGATCTGCAACATTTTACCTCATCTGCGTTTTCTCCTGTATCATACCCCTCTCCAAGAATGGCTTCCTGAACTTTGGGTTGAGCAGAAAATGGAATGCAGCAATATTTTTTGAGTACCTACTAAAGGCTAGGCACAATACTAGATACTTTGATGTATCATTGCTTTTCATAGTCCTGGTAATCCTACAGGGTGAGTATTGTGAAGAGGAATGACATGACATTCAGAGAGAAGCAATTATTTACCGAGGACCACATTTTCATTAAATGGCAGGGTCAGGATTAGAATTCAATCAACTCTAATCCTGATTCTAAAATCCAAGTATGACAGTGAATATAATTCATTTATCATGGTGCCTTGTACTAATAGGTTCTCAGTAAAAAATATCTGTTTAGTATTGATGTTATCATTGTAGAACATCTGATCCTGTTCACGTAAGCTGTCTCTTCCATTTTCATAGACTTCTGCATATTTAGAGCTCAGAAGTCATTGACTTTGACTTTGAATCCCTTTTGCAATATCACAACCAGTTGTATGAATTGTTTCTGTTTTGTCCCTTTATTTGATAGGAAAGCACAGTTTCTTACTGGTTAGATAGCTCTACTTTGAGCAGGATGAAATGCTGTTTCCCCAGGGCATCAATGGGTCTAGCTTCCACATCCCATGACAATAGTTTGGAGGTCTGAAGAACTGATCTTTTATTTCTGCAGGCTAAATATTCTAAGTTCTTTGTCTTTTTCTCATAGAACTCGTGTCTCAAATTGCTTTGTATTTGAGTTACCCTCACTCTTTATTTAATTGTGATCTGTCCTAGTCCAAATCTCTTTAATATCTATCTACTATGCCCATTGCTTCTATGACTTCTCATGGACCATCTCAGGAGTATATCCTTTCAGAGCTTGTTCAGTCACACATACCTCTTTTGCCGCCTATCCTTAATTCATTCTCTTGACATTTTCAGGTAAACAATGCAACTGCAAGATGTCACTGATCTACATAATGAGCACAAATGCTCACACTGAAATAAAACCCACATTCACATGTGCCACCTAGAAGGAATGCTGGAGTCGGATGACCTCCCCTCCCAAACACAAAACCAGATTAGTGGGAAAACAGCTCGAACTGCCCTTGCCAAAACCAGCCTATGCAGCTTGTCATTTTCCTCACACATGAGGGAAGAATCCATTGTGTCTTTCTATTTCTGTAAGGTTAACTTGGTGATGGTCACAGTTGGTGAAGGAGGTCTATTTGTCTGAAACTATCTAATTCCTGATTAAGAACTATTGCCAAATGGCAACTTGGTGCCCAACTTCTAGTAAAGAAAAATGGGAAGTAAACCTGACAGCACACACACTTGGGCATATGTCCTACCTCTTCTATGTGGCTTTGTGTAACTTACTATCTCTGGCCTCCATCTTCACAAATCTAAAACAAGTAAATGAGGCTGAAATATTATTGGTCACTCTAATAATCAGAAACAACCAGGTATTGGGCTTGTGTATGCCCTCTTCTCATGTAAAGAGTTCCCTGAGAACCTCTGCAATTAGGACATTTCAGGCTAGAAGAGTCAGAATTTAAAAACACCCACATTTTAGGCTACAAGATTGTGCTGAGATTCTCTGTATCCATGCATATGCAAGTCCTCACATGATGAGGAGCATCTTAAGGGCCTGGACCATTTGTAATTCATCTTAGTTACATCAGTCCAAGTATATAGTAGCACTTAGAAAGGTTTTGCTGAGCTTAATTGAGCCTTTACTTATATTGTTCTCTGACTGCCTTCTTCCTGGAGATCACTACTCAAGACCTCTCAAGATGTCTACAAAGTCTCTTCTCTATATACTAACTCCCTAATCTAACTCTCATCTTCCCCTCCACCACCAGAGTAGAAAGAATATTTCACACTTTCTTTTTCCAGTGCATCTTGTAAAACTTATCTTTTCCATCACATTCTATTTTAACTGTCTATTTTCTTACCTACCTTTCCCACCAGTTCTTACTTGAGGACAGAACTATGTCATTTCATCTCTATGCCTCCAGTCCCCAGAACAAAGGCCTGGAAGGAATGTTTGATGCCATTTATTTCAAATGATTGAACTATTCTGCTATGCCCCTGGCAATGACCCTGTTAAATGGGAGTTATCATGGAAAACAAATGTGCTCTTCCTTCTCCAAGACTTTTCCTCTACCACGTTTTTGGCTTTTCTTCCCTTTGTTTTTGCTCCTGCCATTTTGTCAACCAGAAACAATCTATTCATCTCCTATGAGAGAGCTTCTTTTCTTAGCTTTTCCCCTCAGGATCACCATGCTGTCCTTCCTATATCTGTACCACCCCAGTGGTGCTGAATTAAATCTAAGGCGGAAGACAAGCTCATTTAACCCACAGTTCGCTAACATATGTGTGCACCACCTAGTGGCAAAAGCAGTAAGTGTAGGCTACAAGTTTAACCACAGCTCTAACTGAAATGGCAAAATCTGCTTGTTCTATACGCAAATGAAAACAAAATTCTATGTTACCGAATGATTCTGCAACAGTCTTTAGATAAGAAATCAGGACAGTCATATAACTGCCTCAAAACCTTTCAAAAATAAAAAGAATGAAGTGAAAGTGAAAATTTTCATTACTAAATCTACCAAGGATAGTATCACCATTTGAGACTGCCACTGGGAAACTGCGCGGCGTTCATAAACACGAGGGACATGATGGGTGGAATGTGACCAGTAATGCACAATCACATAAACAGGTGGAGGCACACTGCATATAAAGATTACAAAATTATAATATTAAGTCACCAAATGAATGACAGGGAAAAGAAGAGGGAGAGGCAGAGGGGAAGGGGGAGGGGCGAGGGAAGGGCAGGAGGAAGGGTAGGGGAGGGGGAGGAACAGGGCGAGGGCTGAGCCTTTTGTATGGAAATGATAGACTAACCTCCTGGAAGCTAGAATATGTAATATTAGTTGGAGGAAATAAAGTAAGGCGGGTGGTCGGTTAGGTAGGCAGACAGGACGTAGTAGCTGTTGAACCACTAGTTAACCAAAAGCTACAGAATAAGACAGACAGAGCTGTTACCTGTGTGGTCATCTTGCTCTCTCCCTCCCTGTGTGTCTGTGCATGTGTGTGTATTTATGTTTGGGGTTGGGGAGAGGACATCCCTTCTCAGGCAAAGAAATTCGATACCTAAATACAGGAAAATGAATCCAAAGTGTGCCTGTGTGGTATCCCACACACTTCTGGAAGAATATGGTTATGCCATGTTGGGTTGACCAGGAGTATGTGTGTGGACACCTCGCTGTGTATGAGCTTTACACCCAGCCTTCTCTGTTGAAAGTGGTGCCAGCGGACATTCAGAACACCCATTTTTGTGTTAACTACTGCATGATGAATGCCGAGCATAATCTTATAAAGGCTATGGTAATTGGGGGTCCTAAGACCAAAAGCGGTAAGTCCTGTTAGTGCTATACAGAGATTGCCAGAGCATCTAGAGAGGATGCTTAAGGAAATGTCCACCAGTACCCCAACCCCAGGAGTTAGCCATACTTCCCCATGAGTGCAGCAGATGCTTTCTTATTAGCAATGGTACCCCACTTCTGTTCACTACTGACCTTGGAGGATGGAAATACTGAAAACAAGACTCACTAGAAACCTTATCCCGGAATTTTGGAACTTTTACAAGTTCAGTTATTTTTAACAAAAACTATGGTTGTCCTGAGTTAAAGAACATATCTTTAAAACTTTTGGACCTGTGAAAATAATACATGCTTATTTTTGCCATTGCTTAAATTTCCAGGAAATTCAGAGTAAATAAAAAATAAATGAAATCCTACCACTACAAGGGAAAAATCATTAATATTTTGATGCTTTTTGTCATCTTTCTCACTATGTATACTTAAGATTGTATTTATATAAAACAAATGTAGTATATTTTAATCTTCTGTAACATTGTGGGTTTTTGTTCCAGGCTGAGCCTTTCTTTATTATGAAGT